ACTGGGCAGCATTTTCTCAAGTTTTTGGACATAAGTTTCTTTATTCGTAGCATGCATTAGCTCAATAATTTTAGAATATACACGGAAAGAGTATCGTAGCAAGAACTAGAAAATTAAAAACAGATACAATACAAAAATTTGATATATTCATGTGCAGCGATACGCCATGCCAGACGCAAAATCATTGAGAACAACATAGGCAATTATCGGGATTTCTGACTTTTTCAATGAAAACAATAAAAACAAATAACCATACGCAGATAGTCAGAATGTTTCCGATTACTTACATCATACATTTATGGGCAAAGGTTCCCTCGCAAAATCGTGGGCACATCCGCAAAGCCGCCATTTTATGAGAAATCGGTCATCGGTAGTGATGTCATACGTCAACATTGTTGGCAATTTCTTTGAGGTGAAGGTCGGTTGAATAAGAATAAACACACTGTCCTGCGGATTACACTTTCACATGTTTCAGTATTATGTATACTTTGCGTATCGTTCACATATGGTTTCATGAAACTAATTTCACTATCAACATTTAGTATTTTAAACCTAAGTAATACTGACATAATAAATAAAAATGATTTATTTATTTCATGAAATGTATATATGCACACGTTTTTAAAGGATATGTCTTGTGCATTGAATTTGTTTATGTTGTGGTATAGACAAAACAATGGCGTATAATCATTGGCCAGGTGCCCGTTTGTCACAAATACTTTGAGTATAATTGTTTTCGATAATTCCCTGAACAAAACATCACGAACATGTAGTGTCCTTATTTACAGAAATTTTCTCCAAGTGATCTGAGTTACAATGACTTAGTATTAAGCATAGCGGGGTGATGTCCCCTTATCTTTATAAGAGTGTGACCTTTATGTAGCCATTTTACGTCATAGTGGAACATCCATTTTCAACACATATTGCGAGTCATGTTTAGAGTGTATAACGTTAAACATAGGCACACAAACTACTTTAATACATACCTATGTTGTTCAGGTATCAGGCAGAATTTTGTTCGATCACACTTTCCTTAAAAATTCCAAATTGAAAATATAGTAGCACAGTACTTTTATCAGTACACGATAAAAAGCAGAGAAATTTACTGTTTTTAACGCACAACAAAATTAGGGGTAACATTTAGCAGTGTCTACTTTTCAAACTGAGTTTATACCATGAGATAGGACATTTAATACTCTACATTTCTGTGTAATTTCATAGCTGTAGGTAGATCCAGTGCTGCGCAAACGAAATTCTGGCGCTATGTTCACTTTTCCAGGAAGTTAATGACACTCTATTGATACCCCATGACCTTCATTAAGTTAATGACGCGCTAATGACAACACGACGTCATTAAAACCTTAGTACAGCAGAATTTAACGACACATTAGTTAATGAACGTTTAATGGCACGTTAATGCTTCATTAAAGTTTGATACAGCCGGGTCAAGTCTATATGTGCAAGATGTCTCAGCGGTTACCATGACATTTATTAATTTTAGCTCTTTGTATTGCTCTATCCAGCCTCTGCTTACTCTTCCATCCAGAATTATAAACATGTTTACTCAAATAGACGATGCATTTGTTGGTAGTAAACACTGAGGCAATACGGAAACTGAATATTTCTTGATTTCGAATAATATGCTGCTGGGGTATAATAATAAATATAGTTATAATCTGTTGTTGACGATAGTTGTTAACAAGCGTAGTCTGGTGTTTGGGAAAATCGATATCATATTATTGCTTTCATAACGCCTCGAAAAACATTTAAATAGTTTCTACCGAAACATATGTTTCAAGACGGAAATGAATAGCAATGGAAATTGGACGATAGAAATGTTATTTTTTTTATAAAACGACATTCAGAAACAGAATTCAAAAATTGTTATGACACAGTGTGACTTGCAAGAAAGTCTGTGAAATATCTGCACAAATATTGTTTACTTGGTATAGTGGGATTCATTGACAAACTGAGAATATTTGCCATGTTTTGCAATAAACCCACGCATTTTCTAAACAAATATTCCCACAAAATCTCCAACGATGACAGTATTTACAGAGGATCACCTTTAACGATTGGAACTTACACAACTCGGGTGTACCATAGCCGTATCACGTTCTCTGAACGTGTAATTACTATAACATTGTCACGTTCTCTAAATAGATGTAGTTTGATGGATTACGACGGGGAGCTTGTCACAAACTACTTCATTATAGTAATAGTATATGATGGTTGTATTGATGGTTATTGCTCTTCTTGGTTTCTGTTGACAGACGTTTAAAATAGAATCAAGAGTATCATCTTTAACGTTCCAGGGTGTGATATGTCCATCCAATTATGAAAAATACTCTATACGATGGTTTCATTGATCGTTAATGTCCTTCTGGATTTCTATTTCCAAATGAACCCAAGATTAGTGACCACTTGATCCCGTTAGTCGCCTCTTTCGACAATGATAGGTTGCTGAGGTGCAATTCTATCCCGGATCTTCACGTGTTCATTGACAATGCCAAAACAGAGTTTTGGCCAGCGAAAATGGTTAAATATAAAAGAATGCAAGTAGAAAAACGGACACAAATAGTTTCTAGAATAGAATCAAGACAATTCTATTAACCCATATGTTTAGGAAAAGTGCAAATATATCTTAACAATAAGACAAAGTCATCAATATCCCCAGCAAAATACTCTTCATGAATATGTCAACTAGTTATGACTATGTCAAATGTTTTGGCATGTATATAGCACTGAGTGAGTTAGTTTACTGAACAATATTCTAGCTATATGCCTGTAAATAATCGAATCTGGACAAGACAATCCAGTGATCAACAGCATGAGCATGGATCTATGCAAATGGGATACAATGACATGTGTCAAGAAAGCCAGCGAGCCTGACCACCCGATCCCGTTAGTCAAAAGCATTAACCCACATGCTGACGATATTTTCCAAATGAAATTCTTCTTTGGAAACTCATGTGGTTTCATAGAATTGGCGTTTTTGAAAGAGTAAACATCGATGGCTTTTGACATATTTCTTGGGACACGGAACAGAAAAATGCACGTGCAGTTGCAACTCAAGGAACCTGTGTTCCAGTCATCGAAATGACTTTTGAAAATCATTCGGCCGATCCGAATAACAAGGGAGATTAGAAACTTAATTGGAGTAACTGGAACTGGTACATTATATTGTCCTGACAATTTAGCATTGCCCAGAGTACACTTTACAGACCTTGGGCATGATTTTGTCATCGTTACACCACTGCAGATCATCCAAAATCAGGGAGACCCCGCATGACCCCAATAACACAAGGTCTGTTTGAGTGGCATTCTACAAGTTGGTGGTATAGAGATGACAAGACTTTATGGATGATCAACTTCTTTATTTTGACAATGGCGACGTTTCGGTACAGATTCATATACCATTTTCAAGCATATGCTTGAACCCAAGGTCGCCAATTTCGTGTCCTTCACCCTTTGAACTGGCCCCTGACTTCAACGTACACGGCGATACAACTTCCTGGTTTGCGTCATGTATCTTCTCAGGGTGTTCATAACCGTTAATGGGTTCCTTGAATTGATAGAAGACACGTATTAGTAAGTCGAAGTAATCGACTGTAGAATGTATCATCCGTGGCTTTTTCAACGTTGACATAACCTTTAGTTTTGTCACTAATCACGTTTCCGTCTTCACAGGAATACTGGGCTTAACGGTGACTCTAATGTGAAATGTACCCCGAACATTAGTCGAAAGAATCGATGAAGGAAGTGTCACATTGTTTGTGGGCAGGTGAGAGGAACATATCTTGTTTACACTGAGGACAACATCGGAGGTTTGCGTTATCATAACGTCCACACGTTGTTCAGACTCTGAAGGAGCAGTGGAGTGATCTTGTACATGGTTAAAGCGTTCGCTCGTCATGCCGAAGACTCGTGTTCGATTCCCCACATGGGTACAATGTGTGAAGCCAATGTTTGATGTCCCCCGTCGTAATATTGTTGGCATTTTTCACAAAAGTGATGTAAAACCTTATTCACTGACTCAATCCGACTCTGAGGCACCAGGAGAATTTGTTTCCATCTTGACAAGGCTATTCCCAACACAAAACATTAGATGTTTTCTGTACTGTGATTTCTTTAGTGTTCAGCAATACAACCGTACTACCTTTGCCGTCAGGGTCAACAGATTGAAAACCAATCTAGCATCTGTGACATGATCAGTTAAACAGATGTTTACATTGACGTCAACCAAGGTCTATAATCTGTAGCAATTACGTTAACCACTTAAGAAATAGTGGGCTGTTATTCCACAAGGGGTCTGCACCATGCAACATGGTGTCCTGCAGTTATCCAGTGGAAAAGTGGACTCTCGGTGTACATGGCTGGTGTGTAAATTGCTCAGGTGTCTCTGTCAACATCAGATGAAATGTAACAGATATCATATTTGGGATTAAACATTCTGCATTAAAGTACAGATTCTAGTACTTTGTTGGGTTGAGTCCCATCCGGGATGCGATTCCACACCCTCAGACTCGGGCACCTTATCGCCAGCACACAAAGTCAGCCGTCTAACCGCTCAGCCTTCGGCGAGTAAAATGCTTTACTTTGTAACCGAAAACGTTCTAAATATAGCTCTTAGTCTTGTAGAATCAATCTTCTTAAAAACGGAATTTGTGTATCGTGTATTGGAAAATATAGACATCCTAATGAGTCATCATCTTTAGATGAAACAAATGTTACACATTCTTTAATATTATCTTATTTGAGATACGTAAAAAATAGATATTGAATTTTTAAAATCAGATCATATTTTCCTTGTAAGTTCCAAGTGTAGGTAACTGATGTTATCTTTTTTCTTGCATCATTGATTTCCCCCGTTATCGACCATCTGCCTTCATTATCTTGGCTTGAATATCCTCAGAAACATTCCGTTTTTATGAACTGTATTTATGCATCCGGTGTCATTGTGAGTGTGTTAGTTTTGAAATAATCACGAACAAGAAGTATCTTTAAACATTTATTTGGACACAGCTATAGTATTGCGCCGTGTTAAAAGCCATTAAGATCACACATTGTCTGGTACTGTAGCTCAAGCAGGAGATCCCAAGGGTATGTGTGTGAAACACCTCAGCGGACGAACTAGCTATGAGTTCATTTGGAAAATGGTATTGTACAGGTCTTTTAAATGACCAGATATGGGGGTTAAAAAGGGTTTTGGAGAATTTCAAGAGGAAGTGTCGTGAAATTGCGAGAAAAATGCATTAAATGTCTTTTGTTCTGTTGTTAAGTCACGGCTTAAGTCACCCGCACACGACACACTTGAATCTAAACGTTTTGGTTTTTTTTAAACATAGATGTGTCTGAGATGTAGTGTAACCCCAAAATATGTTATTTACATGATACATTGATTAACAAAGATATTTAAAGGTAGTTTCTGAAGAATAACTGTTGTATTTCATTACCAAAATAATGTAGGGAAGCAGTTGTATTTAATTATTCGAAAAAATGCAAATTGCAAATTCGGTCATTATAATGTATGACACTCACTAGCAGAATGACTGTGATTTCCATGAAGTTCATAGTACATAGCTCGTCAGCTGTACCAGTAGTCGTACAATGAGTATGAATATGAAAATAGTTATGTTATGTGAGCTAGACCGGGCAGACAAGCAGTTCAGTGAGCGGTACACACATCTGACAGAATATGGCCAGTGTTTTACACAAAGACTTGAACACAAATGCATACACCCGTAAACAAGTTGTAGACATGTTCGAGATCTTCTGTTGCAAAAGACAAAAATTGTGCGACTTAGAACGAGGAAGAACAGGCTCATTTCAAATTACGAACTTATATTTATCAATTACATAATACTTTTCTATTTGTAGGTCTAATTTCGTAAAACCATTTTCGTAAATTGAAATGAGCGTGGGATATAGAAACAGCAGACATATCAACCATCACAATCATATTCACCTCCCTTGATCCTCTATTAACTTCGTAAAGAAACTGATAGTGGTTTAAGTGATATATTTTGCATGTTGAATGCTAAAAAACCCAGAAAATAATCAATCAAGAAAAAGTCAAATTCTTAGGTATTTTTCATATTTTATTATGAAATTTACTTTAGTCCATCATATGGTTATATCATTTACAATGTCTTGTATATTCCGTATTACCTATATACAAAGAAACATGCGTAAATTCGATCTGAAACAGGAATTTACAGTTTGGAACTTTTTACAAATAATTTTACAGTTTAAAAGTATAACAAATATCTGAATAACTGCTGAAACACAGAGAGCCGAATCGATTTGAGCACATGAATATTTATCAGGTCATGTTTAATGCGGAATTATTGTTAAAATATCAAAATTCCTCTGCACCGGCATTCATTTTACACTGGAAGAAAGAGCACTATTTGCAAGATTTGAAAGAACATGGGAAGACAGATCGCCCAAGTAGTTGAGAGACCGATCTTTCTAAAATATCCGAAATATCCAAAGTGTCTCAAAATAAAAAAAAACCCTTCTCCTCAACGCTTTCCATAAGGTCCACACTCAGGAATAGCATCTTTCAAGGTTTGGGCATAATTATCATCTGTTTCCAGGACATTTTTGTGTCGAAAAAGAACTATTTCTTCCAGTGATAGACTCTCGTTACGTTCAACAGTCTCAAGGACGTCATCAATATATACATAGTTATTGATCACAGCATATGGGTAGACAAATGAAAAATATACAATATAATAGTGACTGAGAAGAAAGCATGGTGAAGCACCTTCTGAACAAACGTACATGTTGATGTACCACGCATTAAAACGTCAGAAATATATCTTGTAAGTATTTTGTGCCATTTATTCTGAATCATTTTGTGGGCACCGACACGTGTTGGTGCGCCCACAGTTGGATGAGTATTAGAAACTAAAAACAGGGTGTGCAAAAGTACGATAAAGAGTTCCACAGCGCTAAGTACTATTTCAAAACAGATGGTATGTTTTTCCCAGAATTAGGTCAGTGTTTTCAGTGATGATAAAGAGGGTGGGAATAAGCATCGCCAGTTATTGTGATTCATTCAGGCTATTAAGAATGATTTACGAGTGAACATAAGCTTATTACTGTTAGTGGTATGATACCACATACTGTGGTAAAAAACAAGGTCTGGGATGTTATGACGATGGGCTATAAATTATTCATTCGTTTGTGTGATCACTTCAAGAGCTTCTGTATTGAAGGTCTAGGAGGTCTGATCTGCATTTTTTCTTCAGTACTGTGATGAATAATGCAAACCCCCATACCGCTACAATATTGTAGAAGGTTAGATGGTATGGTATTGATTCTGGTTGAGTACAGACGCTATTAATCTGGGACAATGTGTGTTAGATATGGTGATTGACGTAAACATCACGATACCACTGCTACAGATGATAGACACATGGCAAAGATCTTCACAATACCCTGGGACATATAGGATCTGCCCGGAATAGCAATATATTTATATATTGAATAAAATCTTGGATAAAAATAACGTCTTTTTCTTTCTCACTCTCTCAGTCTCTGTTTCTCAGCTTTAACATTGTGATTACGCCACAGTGTATTGAACCCGTTGAGACCGCGGTCATGTCTCGTGACTTCGTTTAGCATCCATTTATCACTTGTGCTTATCTGCTTTCTGCATATCATGCTCTTCTCGCCTTACTGCTTCTCTTCTTTCTTCTCCTTCTCCTCCTCTGTAAGAGAAGAAATAAACTGATAGATAAAGGCATATTTCCATCACGTTAAGTAGAGAATTTTGGTTATTTAAGGTTAATTTCGAACATAATCCCTTGTTATCCTAAGTTATAAAACTCATCTATGAAGGTAACTGCAACACTTTGTATATGTAACGTACGATGTACATTAAAGCAAATAAAAGCGACAGAAGCCTTTCCAGAAGGAAACAGCAGAGTCGAATGTACGATTTCGGAAAAATCATAAGCATGTGTTTATAAATCACAATAATACTGATGATACTGTCACAGTTTCACACCAAACACTGATTACATAAATCCCCCCCCCCCAAAAAAATATAAATAAATAAATAATTTTTTTAAATAATAATAATAACAATTTTTTTACAAAAAATATAATAAAAATAAAATAAAAATTAGTTTTTATTTTTTTTTACAAAAAACAACAAACCCAAAACAGACACAAAACAACAACAACAAACAAACACACCAAAAGCCAAAACAAACACGCCAGGTAGCTTGAAACTAAACAAACATACCTTTCACTTCTCCATCCGCTTTCGTCTTTTCAGCTGTTTCTGTCTCTGCACTTTTTGCTGTGTCTTTAGCCTGGGCTGTTTCTTCCAATTCCTGTTCTGCTTCCTCAGGTGTTTCCTGAGGTGTTTCCTCTGCCTCCTCCTGTTTCTCCTCCACCTGACCGCTCTCAACTTCTGCGGAGGGCATGCTGTTCTCCACTGCCTGCTCTATGTTGTATTGTGCCTCGGGGTTCTGTACATCATCCAGTAGAGCGTTGGCAAGCATGTCAGCTGAAAAGAGAGTCATCAAGAGGTTAAAAAACCCGAATAAATAAGAGCTAACGAACCGAATGGAACGTTGTTGACATAAAACATTTCGAATTACGTTAGAAAATGGTTTTGCAAAACTCAATATTATTTAGTTCATTGTGCGTATAAAGGAATGTGCCTTAGAGGTTTAAAGGAATATCGAGCTGATCCAACATGTTTATAATTATTTGGCACGAAATGAATTGAAAGTCCACTCGATTTTCGTTAGAGGCAACTGAAAGTGTTGGCAACCCCTGAATCACTTTCCGCAGTTCTTATGTGACCTCAGTAAGCGTGTCACCTATGGTTATGACTATTGAAGTTGTCTCCTGTGTTTATCACTCCATGGCAACACAGGTAAGGACTTTCATATAAAAAAGTTGGTTTAAATATATATATGAATAGTGCGTATAAATAAGCGATGTCCATGTACACACGTATTAATTGCAACTTTTACCACTCTTATCAGTTGGAACATGCCAATTAATATAACAATTACACTTGCGTTACAGACATTTGCACTTATGTTAGTTCATCATAAATGTGGTTAGTTTTACGTATTTCGACTAAAACATACAGCAAATGACTAGAACAAGAGTTCGTAATATGCATCGGTTCATGATAAGGTTTCGAGAAGTCTACTGTAAACTCAACGCAAGACTATCTACTTCCACTTAACTGGTTTTAAATCGATAAATACCACAAACATATGTTGCTTGTTATCCCTTTACAATAAAGAGATTCGACTTCATATTAGTACAGACTTAAACATGATAATAATTCGTACCTAAAATGTCTCTGATCTGACCAATGTCATCTGGGTTTCCGTCACGTGACACCACGTCGTACAGGTAGCTGACAAGAGCCTGTGCTCGTGCATTTCCTGAAACGAAAGAATATTGCCATTTAGTTATGTAGAGCAATGCCAGTACAAAGTGAACTATGAACACGAGGATGTATTAAGTAATAGGTACTGTTTCCTTCATTCACAGTCAAATTCCATTGGTCCGTACTCTTTTAATCCAGAAACCCCATTACTTTCAGACCCGTGAAGATCTGGGTTAGAATTGATCTTAAGCAACCCATGATTATCATAAGAGGCGACTAACGGGATCGGGTGGTCAGGCTCGCTGGCTTGGTTGACACATGTCATCGTATCCCAATTGCGTAGATCAATGATCGATTATTACAGACCGCCGCCATATAGATGGAATATTGCTGAGTGCGGCGTAAAACTAAACCCACTCACTCACCCTTTCTTTTCGGTGTAATGCTAACATTTACTGAAATACCAAGCACTTTAACAATTTGGCAATTTTTTGCAATATTTCAGCTTGGTGACTGGCTGGCTACATGTCATCGTATCCCAAGGATCGTTGGTGACAGTGGCGATCACTGGCCTCTCTGATCCAACATCGATTGTTAACATAGATGTGTCAGACCAGACTAAGTAACAGTTCTGCCTTGGAATCGCCACGCGGTTTGTGAGAAAATCACAAGAATAATATTCCAAGATGGCATTAGAGTGAGTGAGTTTAGTTTTACGCCGCTTTTAGCAATCTTCCAACAATATGACAGCAGAGGACACAAGAAATGGGCTTCACACATTGTACCCACGTGGGGAATCGAACCTGGGTTTTCGTCGTGGCCAGCGAACGTTTTAACAACTAGGCTACCCAACCGCCCCAGATGGCATTAGAAGTTGCAATGGAATATGGTGATTGCCGACAACGTAAATATTCATACCTCCTTCGAAATCTTTTTCCCACCAAGCATTGAGCAGAGCATCAATGACACCGTTTAGAGATTCATCCCCCTCGGAAAGTGCGTCCTCAACAACTGCCTGTCTCTCGGCGTCAAGGTCGTTGCCGATGTAGTTCTCGTAAGCACGGTCAAGGCTGTAGAGGTCATCTGGGATCTGGTCTGCAAGAGGTGCCATGTTGGAACGCTTCTCTGCTTCGTCGTAAGCTGGGTAGTATCCCTGGAGAGGTTCCTCATTCTGGGAGAACAGATTGCTGACGTGTTACAGCTGCACTAAGTCAGGTACAGTTATATAATTCATTTCGCGACCTATACCATGTATTCTCGAAGACACCGTGTAACATGACTGGCTTTTGTGTAACAGTACAACCGCCGGAGTTTTGTATTGATCGTGGACTCTCAGGCTGTCTGAAGCACGATATTTTAATGAACACCATCATCAGACTTGTAAGGATGGGTTGTCGTGGTAAGAAGCAAGCTAGCAATCATATGCTGTATAATACTCCATGTATATTGTTATAAGTATCGGTTATAGGAAAAAGGAACACTGATGGACAATCCTGTGCGGAAGCATGTTATTTGTCTTATGCAAGGATGTTGAACACCTGACCCTAAATCTGAGATAGACATAATTTGCCTATCCGTCTAATAGATAGTTTGGGAGCATTGTGGCAGTTTTGAAGGTACCCTACATTTGTGAACAAGTTGGCATGTCTGTAGAAGGTAGACAGCACGGACAGGGAAAATGCATAGAAAAACAGAATGAACAGATAGGGGGTCATGACAAGGAACATGGCTAAAAGCAAAAATGATTATGAAAACTCATAAGAAGATGAGGACAGATGAGACAATTAATGATCAGATAGGCGGAGTCGAGAAGGTGACAGTTCGAGCATAAAAAGGAAGGCAAGCATAGGTAAGAATACAAAGACAATTAAGGAGAAACCTCGAAACCTAAAGTAAGAAGGCAAACAATATATGCAAAGGATATGCCAGGTAAGACCTCACATAGAGCTAAAGGATATGCCAGGTTGGACCTCACATAGAGGTAAAGGATATGCCAGGTTGGACCTCACATAGAGGCAAAGGATATGCCAGTTTGGATCTCACATAGAGCTAAAGGATATGACAGGTAGGACCCCACATAGAGGTAAAGGATATGCCAGTTTGGATCTCACATAGAGCTAAAGGATATGCCAGGTTGGACCTCTCATAGAGCTAAAGGAAATGCCAGGTTGGACCTCTCATAGAGCTTAAGGATATGCCAGGTTGGACCTCACATAGAGCTAAAGGATATGCCAGGTTGGACCTCACATAGAGCTAAAAGATATGCCAGGTTGGACCTCACATAGAGCTAAAGGATATGCCAGGTTGGACCTCACATAGAGCTAAAGGATATGCCAGGTTGGACCTCACATAGAGCTAAAAGATATGCCAGGTTGGACCCCACATAGAGCTACAGGATATGCCAGGTTGGACCTCACATAGAGCTAAAGGATATGCCAGGTTGGACCTCTCATAGAGGCAAAGGATATGCCAGGTAGGATCTCACATAGAACTAAAGTATATGCCAGGTAGGATCTCACATAGAGGATAAAGGATGTGACAGGTAGGTGGGCTAAGACTTACAGGATAGTTGATGGCCTCTGCGTTCTGTGCGGCCAGTAGTCGCTGGTACTCAGAGATTACTTGTTCCTCGTAACGTTCAGCTTCCTCCTCGCTCATCTAAATGATAATAATGAAAATAATAATGATGATTGCTGTCTTTACCAACACATCGTAAGTACATATGAAGGTATAATTATTTACCTTAGGAATACTTCTAATATTACTATGCAAATATTGCTTAAAATCATAACAATCTGATTGTAACAAATTTATTTATTTTAAATTATAATAATCTGATTGTAACAAATTTCATTTTTTAAAATTATGATCATCTCGTTGTGACAAATTAAATGTTTAAAATGATAACAATTTCATTGTAACAAAATCAATTTTTAACTTAAATTGAAGGCGAAATGTTTGTGCTTTAATTGAAAACGGGCGCAAACATTTAACCACATTTTTCTTGTTCGAATACGTTTAACTCTTAGCACTAAAACCAATGAAATCTATCCTAAACAAGGTTGGTTTCCGTTTCCAATTAAACAGACACAGTTGTAACATCTTTATGGAGACGCCTTCATTACCCACAACCACGAACCTAGTCCCAAACGCAGAGACACCAAGGCTCAGCACAGTTTCGTCCTCCATATTTTTTAAAGAAGTCAATACAAACTTTAATTCCACACCAAGATCGAACCGCCAGGGGGCGGACCTAGTCTAGCTTACCCCGAGACAAAAAACAACACGAAATCCAGTAGAATACTGAATTACGTCTTCCAAGAATTGTTATTAGAAATTCAGTTCCGGATGTTGTTCGCGCTCTCTGAACAGAGCTCCGATATTAGATTTATGTTGTTAACCCGTCTTGATAGTACTCTGCCACAAATCAATATCGGGAATGCGCTATGTAATTATTGGGCTCCCGCTAGCCTCAAGGTAGATCATCTGGGATTTGTGGGCTTAATTAAGTAACGCTGTTTCTCCGCCTGCTTATATGTTCAAGGAAATATAGGTCGCATTGTTTTTTCTGGGCAGCAGAGATGATGGCACACGGGACTGAATGCTGCTTGAAAGACTTGAGAAGTTTTGGGTTACTTTTGGATGTATTTTGCGTTCTCATAACCGTTTTTTTCAGAACATGATTGTCCATCGAAGATTGCAGTAAATAAACCTAGCTTTAAGAAAATATTGCACAACGAATCTAAAATCTTTACCGTATCAACTTGAATTTAATTTAAATTATATCAAACTTTCAGGTTAAAAACGCAAGATTTCTCTAAAGAAATGTTTCGATTGCCCTTCACAACCAAAAGCGTTTTCAAATTCAAGTCCTATTTTAGGAATCAGTAAAAAACATTAAGCAACCTTCTCTTTGATTAAAGAATTCCGACTGTCACTCCTTTTTTAGAGCAGCAACCGTCACTAAAAAGGGTAAAGAGCGACCTCTATCGGTTTGGATGGTTTTTAAATTGTCATTTGTCAGTGAAATCCCTAAGAATCCTAACCGAGTGCCAATTTTGTCACCGAAATCGATTGGAGAGATTGACGAAAAATGTCCTCTAAGCTTTGAAGAGCAAGAGCGCACGTCTTGGAAGCCCTGAACAAACTCTTCAAAGGATGAACCATTGATTGGAAACTTTTCAAGTCAGGATCGATGTAATTGTATCTAATTTGGTTCAATACATTTACGTCAGCCAAGCTATTTCAACGTAACTGACTCGTCCATTGAAACCGCTAGCCCATGTCACGGCATTATATGGTGGTTCTGTCACAGCGAAATAATCACATTCAACCAATCGATAACTCACTATTGAAGAGCCAACGAGGTCTTTCAAAGCGGCATAAAAGTTGTCGAAGTCCCATGATTTCAGAAGGTATTCTGCAACAGCCGTAGGCGAGAATTCGATGCTGTCTTGGCTTGGCAGGATTTCCTGAAATGGTAAATGTTCTTTGTAGAAATGATTGGAACAAAAATACGGTTTCGTTTCGACTTTGTGTTGCTATAGAACTTTGCGTGCAGGGTCAGAGAACAGACCGATTCCTTGCTGAGTGAAATATCGATTAGTTTCTATGTTGTGCGTGGGAGATAAATTGATGACGTCAGACGGTAGCTTTGACGTCAGAACGTATCCGGTGAGAGGCTATGCGGTTTAGATCGATGTCCAATGTCTATTTCGACCAATTCAATAAACCCTTTTCATTCATGGAACCAGTAGCGCGCCGTCGCAAAATAATTATTCTCCCGATTTAGAAAGTTTTCATTGATCTTCACATGAGCGTCCGCAGTCTTGTATACCGATCTGATAAGGGAGCCATCACTGCTTCCTCGCGAAATGATTTACTTTGTTCATAAACAATATCTGTTCGCGAGGTCTTCTTGCGGCGCCAGCAGGTAGCAAACAGAAGCTCAAGAAGGCACTTAAACTTGTTCGAATGAAACCCTTTCACGTTTGAATGAAAGTACCATCACGCCAAACTGAATCCAATCCAACAAGAAGGAGGTCTTCTATCTCTGCTGGTTATAATCCCACGTTACATTTTGCCACCGCTGGCACAGAAATATAAAACCAATATTCCCTAGTTTCAAGACAAGACCTCAATTTACATGGTCAATATTTCCGTCCATTGTCATTTTTATCAACAGCCCATAAAATCGTCAAACAAAAATTCCAAATTTGATTTATATTGTTATACAATCGCGCGAGAAGGAACATATTTCAATAACATATTGATCTTCTTTGAATATTTTGAAAATGGCTCGATCATGCATAATCACGTTTGTGTTAAGCATAATGCATACGCCCCTTGAGACAATTTAAAAGGAAATCGATTTCTTCTCTCTCATTTTGTTTTTTTCTCTTCGATGACAAATCAGCTAACGTGACGTAGATCCACACGAGTATTGATCCTATGTTATTTGGGAGCGTGTCATTATATTATTCATTAACTTTTGAAGAAAGCTTCAATCGATACTGAAAATTGATCAGCATACGCTGAAGACGCTGTTCAGTATGTTGCAGCGAGGAAAACATGGGTCATTAGTGGTGTTAAATGATGTGAGCACTGAGTGAGTGAGGGAGTTTTAGCAGCAATATTCCATATAATAATCGAGCCCGGACAAGACAATCCAGTATTCAACAGCACGAGCATCGATCTACGCAATTGGGATAAGATGGCATGTGTCAACCAAGTTAGCGAGCCTGACCACCCGATCCCGTTAGTCGCCTCTTTCAACAAGCATGGGTTACTGAAGATCAATTCTAACCAAGATCTTCACGGGTCGCTAAATGATGCATTACCTACATAACATATTAAGGCAATACTGATTTTGTAACGGCAGCCTGTGACTCTATAACTTCGTCAAGAATAAGCAGTAATATCATGGTATTCTGTAATATGTGTGAGGTTTAATAACTACCCTCATGGAAGCGTGTTGTACTGAGCGAGGCAAGTAACACTTACTCTCTTATAAAACCAAGTGTTTCAGGTGGTCATAGTTACCATGACATGCCTATTCTTTCCGCAAATGCCTTATTTCATCGCTTGCTATCAGAGATTATTTTTTATCATTTTAACAGATATTTTGCGATTTTCGTTCAAGGGACTATGTTTTGGCATATACAATCAAGACCGCTTATTCTCTGATGTTGAGGTTAAATATTTAGTAATACGAAGTTCCATTTTGAGTTAAACACACGAGAGGGGGTATTTCAGGATTATTATAGAGGCGAATGTGGGATACGACCCTGGTCCTGGTAAGGGACGCAACTCTGCAGAGCGAATTGCATCACCCTAACTCACTGGACCACCCTTGTTTGATGTAAAGAATTTCACGTCTCAACAGGAAAAATGCAGTCTCAGTTGTTTAAATAGCCCATCATTGTGGGTTCAAACCCAGGACCATGTGCAGGTTTAGGGACCTAACTTCTGGTCACTGGAGCCATTATTAAGTCCTAAGAAAATTTGGGTTAATACGATTTCGGAATTGCAAAAGCAAAGAACTAAATACTCATTTGAACTTTGTTACACTTTCCCTTACCTAGCCCTTGCCCAGCTCTCTTGTTGTTATGTTACCATTGTAAAACTGAAGTTTGAAAGAGGGATATTTTTAAGACGTGAATGGTTTGCCTGCAAGAAGACGTTAAACAACGGCTCTGAAATTCATTTACATTTTTCATGGGGCTGAAGCCGAACATTATTGCAGCTCGTGCAAAACAAGACCTAATCAATTGATAAAAAGTCTATTTTTTCACCATGGTTCTTGGATGCATTATGAATAGAGCTGATAACAAACCCCCTCCAGTGAGAATCTGCGAGCGATAAAAGGAATTGTTTATGACCGCATCCAAAGTGTTTTGCAGCGTAATCAGGATTATATCACGGTACAACGTAATGAAATCTGACGCAGACTGGGATAAAAATACTCATCCGTTGTTCAATGTGGCGTAATACCCTAACGTCGATCCTTGGTTAGTTTCCCTCGTGGGGCTTTTACTTAAAGGACGAACTCAAGGACTTTCACGTTACTTTTGCACTTCACCCTTATCATTGACGTCTCAGTCACTCAATCACCAAAGGACTCGTTCTCTGAGACCTTCACCTTGGGTAGCCTAGTGGTTAAAGCGCTGGCTCGTCACGCCGAAGACCCTGATCAAATCCCGACTTGAGCTCAGGCGCGAAGCCCATTTTGATGTCCCCTTGCCGTGAAATGGCTATATGGCTATATGGCTAACTCAATACTTCACGTGGCGACTCAATGACCCGCTTGTACAAACTCCTCCCATTGCACTATGTGAGTTTGACACATACACCTCCAGTAACTGAAGATCCGGGTTAGAATTGGTCTTCAGCAACCCATGCTTGTCGCAAGAGGCAACTAACGGGATCGGGTAGTCAGACTCGCTGACTTGGTTGACACATGTCATGGTATCCTACCTGCGTAGATCAATTCTTATGGTGTTGATCCAAGATTGTCTGGTCCAGACCCGATGATTTACAGACCGCCGCCATATAGCTGGAATATTGCTGAGGCATTAAACTACATTCATTCATTAATCCAATGAACCTACCTCTTCAGCATCTGCATCAGCATCTTCAACCTCTTCCTTGACGAAAGTCTCGTGAACACCTTTGTCAGGAATGTCAACGTGTGTCTCGGCAATCTGGTGCGGCTCACCAGTTTCATCGTCGTTTAATTCAGACACTTCCTGTGTGACGTCAGCTAAAACCTTTCCTGTGTTTGTGTCTGTAACTGAAAAAAATACATCCATTAATCAAAACTGACAACAAACACAAATCTTCGTTAAAGGATGAGATCGTTGACTTTGTTGCATTAAGAACGAAACTATGGCTGTCTTCCTCTTTATACCTTGTTAAGCTTCCAAGCTGAGTTATATGCTTGGCTTAAAGTGAAGTCTGAATTTTTAACTGAAAACTTCACTCGGGACCAATCGGCTTATTCCGTTGTTTGCGTCATGCATACTATCTCGGGCAGCCATGGCGTAGTGAGTTGCATGCACTCAATATCAACCGCACAACAAGATTCATCCGCATATAGTTCGCCAAACAGAAGTACGATATGACCGTTTTAAAGATTTGTGTGTTACAAAATTACACCAAATTAACAGACACGTGGATTTGAAAACAAATTCAAACGTTAAAATACCAGTACAGACAAGACTGAATGCAGATTATGTATCACGTGATATTCACGTGAAACAAAGATGGCTTCCAGTCACTGCTGCGCTAGGTTCTTATTGTTATTTACACAGTGTTCTTTGTTCAGCCTACCTTTTTGTTCTGTTTTCTCGGTTTTTACTTCTTTTCCATTATGGTTTTCAACGTGGGATACTTGACTCTTGTGCACTGCAACGTTATTGGATTTACTCTCTGCACCTGGAACAGTCAAGATCAACATTCTTCCAGACCGAGGCACGTGTAGCATTCATTTCGGGAATCAAATACAGTCTAACATCGTACGCATTCTGGCGAATTTGAAGGAACCTTCGTGAAAACTGGGCGGTGGAGTGGCCTAGTGGTTAAAGCGTTCGCTCGTCAAGCCGAAGACCCGGGTTCGATTCCCCACATGGGTAAAATGTATGAAACCCATTTCTGGTGTCCCCCGCCGTGATATTGCTGAAATATTGCTAAAACTAAATTCACTCACTCACTCGTGAATACTTAATATCAGAGGACCGAGCAAACTGCAAATAATGGAAAAGGAGAGAATATGAAGTACCCATATTATATTTCAAGACAACCGCAAGTCCGGGACATCAAGGCTCCACGCAACAATGTTTACCTGTGTAGCTTGAATCAAATATGTTCATAGTGAAACCCTATTAAACCATACCATTGTGAATTCACACCGATCAACAAAATTAATATGATCATTGATACGATGCATATATTATTACTTCGCATACGTCAGTTTAATGCTCAACTCCTATGCTATTTTATTTTTGACGAACTGAGAATCCTACTCGCGGCGAATATTGGATTCAATCCTTGCCCGCTTAAGGGACGCAACTCTGCAGAGAAAATTGCTGTACCATAGCCCAATAATTCACTCAAACTATCAGATGTACCACAACCTGGACATTTGAACACTGAACACTTGAACACTGAACATTCCAATCAATGCTGAATAATATAAACAGTAAAAACTGTTGAGTCAAACTTGTCTTGAATTTAGAGTTTGGTCCCTGTCCCTGCGTATTCCAAAGTGTTCTTATTTCGGGTAGAACCTCGGATAACTCGAAGTATTCACGTTGGTCCCTTCCACTTCGATACAACGGTGTATAAAGATGCAGACCTTATCCCATATTTGCCTGGCATTCCGGGTTTACGTATCAACGAGGTGTCGGTTTCTTACTCATATAACAGAAAGTCATTAAGATTTGAATGTGACACTTTTACCAAATGAAGAATTTAAAGGACGTTATTATTATATCATACAAAGAATATGAAAGAAAATAAATCACATTCTTGTGAGATTTGCCCGGCTGGAAATCAATAATTGTATAAACATTCCTAATTGAAAAAAAAGTTTTCAGGTGGCAAGTTCTCATTAACATGAATATACGTTTATTTACAACTTACTGACGTCACCCATAAAGGGCACTTAGTTATCTCTCGTGAACTAGACGCAGATTTCTGAGTACAAGTATCACCAGTTATTTTCCTTAATTGCCCATCAAGACATTCTTTTTTGTATATTGTAACTTCAAAGATGACAAGAGCGTAACTTCTTGTGGCATTGTTCTTCAGTGTTCACGGAGTGTAAACTTCTTGGACATAGCTTTTGTCAGGACCCAAGTGTTCAATCACGTCTCTTTCTGACGTTGCATGTGAGGTCGTGGCGTACGAGATAAAACCACAATCTAAGGCTAAGGTTCCACTTTAACATCTGAGCATCGCATTTTACTCGAGTGAGAGAGGAACAAGAGAAAGGTATTTTATCACTAATCGAGAACTGGTTTATTGATTGGAACACTTTTGCCTCTGAAGTAAAAGAGCATTAGTGTTCTTAGGTAGAAAGGAAGGTCCTCGGGTATCGTTAATGCATCTCTTCTGATGAAGAGCGGGATACAGAAGGAGTGACTAAGTGCGGTCATTTGGGAACTTGGGAACAGTCAGCTGGTGTTCCCGACAAGCTGCGAATTTGCGTAAATACGCAAACTATATCACCATTACGCCAAGTATGTTTGCAGTATAACACCACACTTTTCTAACAATTCTAACAATGCGGCGGTATATCATCTGGAATTGACAGACTAGTGAATGGCATCACAAGCATCGGTCTTGGGAATTGGGGTACGATTACCTGTATCTACCAAGTCCGCTAGTCTAGCACCCCGATACCCTTAGATACTCTGATACATAGAGCATTGTCTGAAGACTAATTCCAACCCGGGTCTTTGCATTGGGACGTTTGTCTTGACTTGGAATTTTCAGGATTTTTTTCAGTCAATGTCCAGGGCTCACGCTTCTTGCTATGAAGTAGGCGATTTGATCATCTGACGCCCAGGTGAGCTGGAACATTATCTTTGCAGCATCCTCCAAGTTACTTAAACAAATCCATCTGTCATCATAACGTTATTTCCACGGGTCCATATACACTTTACCTATTACATACGATCTACTAAAATGCATTATCGATTACTTAAAAGAGAGTTATGGGTGTATATTTAGGATGTTATATAAAATAATTAGTGTTATGACGTCAATGGTTTGAACATCAGTCTTCAAAGGAACAAAATGCCCTCATTTCCACGGCTGTAAAACCAAGGTCTAATTTCCTTGGGGTAAATGGTATTATGTTCTTTCCTACAAGAATACCATCAAAAGAACTAGTGTTAGGTACCTAAAGCTGCGAGCGATATTGATCAGATACTATGGCCTAACCTTATTTGCGTGGCTTGTTGCAAGTCTGTTCTTGCATAATGTTCGCATTTGTTAACTGACATGTAAGCGAACTGTAATGTCAAGAACGCATCGATTTCATCTTATCGACAATGACATAACGGCTTGACAAGGCTTTATTCATGCTTTATGAGAGTGGCAGTTAAAAAGAGACAAACATTGTCATAAATTCTGCTTTTGTAACCGTTTTTGTTCGCAAAGCATAACAGTGGTTTGGGGACATTGGTTTGATTTGGTTTGGTTGAGTTTAACGCCGCACTCAGCAATATTCCAGATATATGGCGCCGATCTGTACCAGACAATCCAGTGATCAAAACCATGAGCATTGATCTACGCAATTCGGATACGATGACATGTGTCAACCAAGTCAGCGAGTCTGGCCACCCGATCCCGTTAGTCTCCTCTTACGACAAGCATGGGTTGCTGAAAACCAATTCTACCCCGGATCTCCACGGGTCTATATAATTGTGTATAGCCGGTGGGGAAGGCTAGTGGTAACATCCTTTGCTTGTCACGCCGAAGACCCGGGTTCGATTTTCCACATGGGTACAAAGTTTTAAGCCAATATGGTGTCCCCATCGCTGGAATTGAGCTACAAGCTGCGTAAAACCCAACACACACACTCACCATAGTAGTTTTAACCATCCAAAACACACACAAAGCATAAAGACCAGTGGTGGCACTGTCTCGCCATGACAGCCATTTCCATGGTATGGATTCAGAATAATACATAAGTGCTGTGGCGTGTTAAGACCGGAGCTCAATACACATTCCGGTCTTCAGAAATGTTTTAGTAGAGTCATTAGGACGTCTCCGATGTGCGCGTCTGGAGCCACACAGTGAAGCAATTATTCAGGCTGACCAACGATGCGATGAGGCGACAGATTAGGAAAGCCTACCGCGCCTGTAGGTCACATATTCCAGGAAATGACACTGAGGCAAGTAATCGAAAGGACGCTGCCTTCGTTGGTGTTCCGAATTGGCCTTCTTGCACTTCGCTTCAGAAGGCCTATCAGCACTAACAAAGGGAATACTCACCAGCCAGGGCAACTAATTTTTCGAGTTCAGCTTCTTGATCTGCAGCCTAAAAGAGAAAACATAATACTATTCAACACCCTGGAATGCCTTTAAATATTCAAACATAAGGCAAACGCACATAAAGAAAACGAAACCCTTCTTGTCATAAGAAATCCCATTCGTGCAATTTCTGCTGTATCATGATAGGCTTATGAATCAGTACCAATCTGTGATGCTTTGATGCTTGCGTTAAGCTTATCCTGATGTGGATAAGCATTGAAAGCAGGAAGGTATATATGGTATGGAAAAGCTTTGAAATGTTTCTCGTTATCGTTATTACTTAAAAAGTATTTCTTTTTACATGGTTTTCAATATTTGGTCCGAGAATAACAGGGATTATGGTTTGTTCTCGAAATGTCACAATTATCCTTACTGTTGATGAAAGAGCTACCTTTCTTTGACTATACTTTTGTCAACATGATTGCAAAATAATTCGGATTGTGTTACCAGTTCATTGAAAACATATTCATGAAAAGCATTTTTTTTTAAACTATGTATTTCTGAGGACTATTAGCGAATACATCAGAACTAATCGGGTGGACTAACAATGCTAACATATATCAATTTGTATTGTATTGTATTGGTATTGTATATCTGGTAAAAGGCAGAAATTCTGCTGCTTAAGAAAATACGCCCACATTTTCTGATGAGTTTGTTTTAGTCTTACATACCTTGTCCGCTGATGGTGTATTTTCAGACACATCTTTCTTTTCTGAAATGAGATTTATTATGGATCAGTATCAAGTGTAAACAGACACATGAAGTAAAGATCAAAAGAATTAATTTAAAAATGATACGTTATAACATACTTTCTTTATTCAAACCACAGTAATGGTTATGGAATAAGGAGGGAAGACGTGAAATGATCATCAGTCTTAACACCAATGGCACTGAAGTCTTGTCTGTGTTGCGCGTATGTGTGCGTGCGCGTATGCGTGTATGTTACATTATGTTTGTTATTTATATGTATGTATGTATGCATGTGTTATTTATATGTATTGTATGTATGTATGTATGTATGTATGTATGTATGTATGTATGTATGTATGTATGTATGTATGTATGTATGTATGTATGTATGTATGTATGTATGTATGTATGTATGTATGTATGTATGTACGTATGTATGTATATGTGTGTGTATGTGAGTGAGTGTATGTGAGTGTATGTGAGTGAGTGTGTGTGAGTGAGTGAGTGAGTGAGTGAGTGAGTGAGTGAGTGAGTGAGTGTGTGTGTGTGTGTGTGTGTGTGTGTGTGTGTGTGTGTGTTTCATATTGCAACATGGTCAACATGGCCACCCCACTCAAACACAGTACACCGACTCCAAACAGATCAATCCTTCCCGTTCATACCGAACACCAGGCATTACCATCTATCAACGTATGTTAAAATTAAACGACAAGGTTATCGAACCGCTCTCCAGGAAGAAACATTATCAAATTTACCAGACCCAAAATGAGAAGCTATTTCTAAATCAGGAACTACGAATAATGGACTATTTCCAGACCAGCCAGCGTCGACTAACAAACTATTTCAAGAATTCACACAAAATAACAAGCAATTTCGTAAAGCAAGAACGGTTTTCAAGCTTAATAGGATGCCGAAGTGGAGCTTCAGATTGAAAATCGAAAGCAATCACCAGGCTGTCAACACTACATTAATCCTAATGACGCAACGTTCAAGCAATCACTCTAACATAATCTCGATGTCCAGGTAATACTGAACTCCGACAATAAAAGCTGTTAATGTAGGGGTGCTTATGAAACATGTATAGTGTTCCAGCAAACACCAATCACTCGGGTTTCACATATGGCTTCATAGACACGGGCTCTGATATTTACAGAGAGGTTCTCGTCAGAAGGACAGCTAACAGCTCCTGTAAATCACTTCCACATTGACGTACATCAATAAAATTAATGTGACAATGAGGATACATTTATGCGCCTTTGTGTACAGTAATTTCTAACCCTGCATCGAAGTACTTCTATGTAACGCTGAACGTTTATAATTCATTAAGAGAATTCATCATTTTGACGTTTACTCCACCATATAAATTATACAGATGAACATTTACAGACATTTCAGATAAAATGATAAACCCAAACTGGTTTGTATAACTAGCTTCTATTTGAACAGGTGAGGTTGGGTGAAATGGGGTTTAAAGTCGCACTTAAGATTATTTCGGTCATGTGACGACGTTGATGCGTGTGTATGTGCGGCTGCTTGTACTAGCCTAGACTTAAGCTGGTTTTACAGTGCAAGCTCACTGAGATACCATGCCGCAGTTAAGCATGAATACCCCACTCAAACACATTAAACTGACTCCAAGCCGACCAGTCCTTGTTGTACCCATTAATGCCGAGCGCCAGGCATGGACCAACAAGTACCATATTTTAACGTCTTTTGGTATGACGCTGTCGGGGATCGAACCCGCGACCTTCCGCTCTCCGGATGAACACTCCAAACACTACACCACGGAAGCGGTCCTATTTGAACATGGGTGGTGGGGTAGCCTAGTGGTTAAAGCGTTGGTGCAGCGTGCCGAAGACCCGAGTTTGAATCCCTATAGGGGTACAATGTGTGAAGCCCAATTCTGGTGTCCCCCGCCGTGATAGTGCTGGGATATTGCTAAAGGCGTCTTTAGACTAAACTCACTGACTGCATTTGCACAGATCTTCAGGTCGACGTATATGCATGCATTCATATTAAATATTGTATAATTTATAAGTGAGTATATGGATTATTAATGGTAAACCTCGCACTGCCAATATTGAAAATATTCAGCATGGCTCTAAATGTGCTTCACCCAAAGCAGGAAGGTTTTATGCATATTGAGAAGAATTGCCAAGATTAACATTCTTTCCGCCTATATCCACGCATGTGTATCTGTCGTTAAACAGTCTGAAAACAACATAGGCTGCATGTGGGACTCTAGGACTTCATCCTGTCTCCATCCCAGTATCAACCTTTCAAAAGGCTTCTATACAACCTGTCCAGAACATTCTACATCCAGCCGTCTTATTGTTCGAGACACATTCAAACTCCTCCATATCCCATCACCATTATCTTTGACCTTTAACAAACAACATATACATTGTCTCCGCAACGAACACAGTCCCCAGTGACGTTATTCCAGGCAGGAGATTCAAAACTCTAATTTTCCGCCTAATGCGGTGTCGCCGAGGACAGGGAGCAATACGGATTCCGCTGGCATTAAACCTCCTCCCACGATCTTGGCTCAAGTGGCCTGTCATGAATACATTCATGCTACCGTGGGCGGTTGTTGTCGACCGAGTGGGTCAGGTTGCGGACCTAAACCAAGCGTACAAGACCCTTGCCATGGTCAGGTGTTTTTCTTGACAGAGATGCTCCTCAAGGTTCTTGTGATCCTGCATTAGTGAAGTAATCCCATGGCATGAGGTTAGATGGTATGACACTGATAATTACGAGGTACTTCTCGCTTCTGTCCGCCTACAAAGACTGTCAAAGGCTTTGGCTCAGAATTGTAATTGCAGGCTTGTGACATTCTTTGATGTGTAAGTGACACAAGTAAACACAGCAACAGTAAACAAGTAAACATAGTAAGTAAATTACGGTTATAACGGAGCCTAGTGGTTAAAGCGTTGGCTCGTCACGCCGAAGACCCGGGTTCGATTCCCCACATGGGTACAATGTGTGAAGCCCATTTCTGGTGTCCCCCGCCGTGATATTGCTGGAATATTGCTAAAAGCGGCGTAAAACCATATCACTCACACACTCACTATAACGAACCAAAAGGGATAACAAATTTCAGCTCGTCTTAACCGTAGTTCGTCTTCACCGTACTTCGACTGATACATACACCAAGTGGTCTGGAGTTAAAACAGTTCGTATATGTGTCAGTTCGTTATAAACGTGTTCGATATAAAATGAGTTCACTGTATTGCCATACGGATTCCATGGATAGGTTTTCATGTAAATAATTAACATATAAACAAGTCGATAAAACGATGTATAATTAACTAGACTGATAATTAGATAGATCCAATGCATGTTGATGAAGCTCGATTGGTTGATGGTTCCATGGAAACATGATCGACGAATGGATCATATATCGGTAGATAAATATTTAATGTATATGTAAGTATGAATGGACCAATGCATTTGTACATTGATGTCATATGCAGAAGAGGGATGGATAACACGGATGCTTAATAGACAGATAATGGTACAAGGAACTAAATTCGATTCATCTCGCTTGTCTGAACTTCAACAGACAGCGCTTGTCAAACGGAAGTAAAATGCTGTTGATGTTAAGACAATAATCAGCAGGTTCTGGGAAAACATTTTAAAATGAAAACAAACCCCGCAATTTTCCGCCTAAGCTGTCATCAATTTTATCTCAAAATCTCCCGTGATTTTCCTTTCATGCGTTTAGTTTTGCATTGTCCCATGTGAGTCTGTCCTCCCTTTGATGTAAAACCCGTCTCATGAAAAAAACATTGTTGAAAGAAAAATGTCTGCTTTGAAGATGCTCTTTATGGTCTCAGCGATTTAAAAAAAATAATCTATTAATAGTATCGGTGACAGTATTGATGTGTGCCTAAAATAAAACCCAATTACTTGATGATTGAAATCCGCTTGGAGCAATTAGTTGAAAGATAACGTTTGTCCAAGGGGAAATAGCATTCGGTTCAAGTGCTATTCACCACGCGACTAATGTCGTTCGGTGCGACTGATGAGGGTCGTCAAAGCGACGAAGGACGAGGCACTAATTGTTGCCATCGTTTGTTATGGCTACTGTGACCATTATTGATCTTATTTACCAACGTCATCGGAACTACGATTCTGTTTGCCCTTAATAGACACGAAACACAGAGTAGATATCTGCGTTTGGCAGCGTTCTAGAATTCGGAAGATAAATATGCAACCTGCAATCGTCTTTCTTAGAAGGAGGTGTACAATGAACATTGGCCATTAGGCCTTAATGCCACCAATACAGTATAATAGAGGAGTATACATATCCTTCGGTATTGACGATCGACACGTCTTCGTGTCATAGTCGTAAGTGCCATGTTGGTTTAGTCAAATACCATTCATGTTAAGAAAAATGTACTGAACAGAAAACCAGCGAAAAGGTATCCGTATGTACATAAACAAAATGAGAGTTTGTTATCAGTTAGCACTGCACTCTCCTCCGCAGCAGGAGAGAAACGTCTAAAGGATTTGTCTTTTGTTATCTTCTTGTAAACCACAACACACGATCTTGCTTGAAACAAGGGATGTATCGGAAAATAGCCTCTAATTGTGATCCTTGTTTACCAAGAGGACGCGACGCTGGTACGAGAAAAACACTGGCTGAATGTCACGTCTTAAAAGGTTTCTGACATGAAGAAAATGGCCAAGGCTTATTATGGGAACCAAGATGGGTTGGCATTTGCACAATGGTTATCCCATAGCTCTCTGAGAGTGATGGAGAGTTGTCTATGGGCAATGTAACATTCAAGCAGACTAGGTCGTACAGCGAACGCAGGAAATTGTTTAAGATAAGCTGCTTAATACGGAGGCGGTGGGACCGATTGGTCTGCGAAGAACCACTTATTGGATGGGTTGGAATCTCCAAGGTAAATTTAATGAGACGAACTTCGGTTAATTGAACATGCTGGCATTTAAGGATTCCATTATCTCGACAGGGATGCGATCTTAGACTAAGGAAAGATCGGTTAAAGATTA